GGGTGTGTTGGTAGCTCAGTCACTTCTCTCCCTATATGGGTGAAGGGAACTGCCTCTAGAGCTGATTAATGCATGGGCATGAAGAACATTCACAGTACTTTAATAATCCAGCATTTATAGCAGAGTCTTTCTTCCCGGGTACTCAGGTTTAACATTCCTGCACAGCATTAGCTAATTCCAATGTTGACAACTACAAGTATTACAAACTTTTGATTGAAGGGGTCAGCATATCTTTGATTAATATAAATTGGTTCCAACACTACATCTAACCTAGCCTCTTTCCCCTGCACAATGACTGAGAAACTCAATTACTAATGGTTTGGGTGACTCCATTAAAAAAGTACATTTCTACAATGTTCACCATATTCATTGGATTTACAAGACAAATACAAGTGGCATATTGAAACACTTAATTGAATTAGACATCACTATCCCAAATATGTTAGACCTTGGTGCACTTACCTTTTGTGCATTTTCCCCATCTTCGGTGGCAAAATCTAGTCTGGGCTGCCTGGGGTTGATCAGGTCTTTTAGTGTTAAACAATTCACTTCCATCTGTAATGCACAATTACATTAGAAACGATCTTACAATTAGATGCTTTCTCCTCCAACAAAAATATCTATTTATTATTTGCTCGACGTGGACATGAACTTCCCCTTCCCAAACTCATCCTGGGAATTTCCAGGAGCGTAGCCACCCCCAACTCTCTAAAACGCACACGAACGAATACAAACACCCATTAGTAACTGAAAACTTGGGAAGAAAAAGTCGACAAAAGTAGTAATTGTTTACGGAAAGCCACAGAGCAAAGTAAAGTTACAAGTCAGGAAGGTGTAGGGCAAATCTGTCAGAAAGTACGGGGTCTCCTCAGGTCAGTTAATTTTGGCGCAAAGAACTGGGAGGAATTCGGCTTTAAAGAGGTTTGAACGGGGAATGGGGGGGGAGAGGAAACCTGATCGCTAGACCAAATCCATTCTGCGCTTGGCGCACCCCTTTCCAGGCTCCCAAACAGACCCCAGGGATAAACTCTTCCAACGTGACCCCCAAATAGCGAGGAAAGGCAAATGCCCGGTACTGCCCGGCTGGCGGAGGGGCTAGACAGGACAGCCCACGCGGGCCCGGGCCCGCGGCACACGTTCCTCTATGCCCCGCCAGCCGAGGGGAGGGGTGGCAGGCTGGCAGCCGAGGCGCGAGGTTCCCTCTCCCCCCGATTCCCGCCAGCCCCACTTACTACTCCCGCTTTGCGGAGGAGGTTTCCAGCCTCTACGGCCTCACGCCCGCGTGGGATCAGCGGGGCGATGCGATCAGCAGCCGGGTGGCCACATCCGGCGGGGAAGGCGAAACGCGCAGACCCCGGCTCGAACGCCCTTGGCTGGCGGGGCCTCCGCGGCGTCCGGACAGCGCCAGCGTCCCGCCTCGCGGACCGCGACTGCAGCCCCGGGTCCGGGTCCCCGCTAAAACACCTCCTCTGGCGCCTTGAGACCGAATTTGAGAACCCACCAATCAGCGGCGGCCGGGGGAGCGGCCCCCGGGCCAATCTAGCTGCCGCACGGCGGGGCTCGCCGCCCCCTCGAGCCTTGGCGGCTCCGGGGCGCGCGTTTTTTCCCGCACCCCGCCCCAATGGTTTGGGCCGGGACCCCCCTCTCCCTTTCCGGGCCCCTGGGGAACCTGGGCTGTCGGGAACCGAGTCCCGCCGAGGGCCCGGGGCCGCGCGGCCGCGGGAAAGCCCAGGTGGGGGCGGGCGGGCGGGGCGGCGGGAGGGCGGGGCTCTTTTGTTGGGGACGGGAGACCCGCTCGGGTCCTCCCGGCTGGCGGCGCGGGGAGAGCGCGGGCACCGCGGGCGGAGGGGGAGGCAGATGGAGGTGGGAAAGCGATACGCACGCTGGATGCGGCGCCTCCTCCCCCAGCACCTGCGCCGGAGCGAAGCCGCCCGGGCTTGTTGGGCAAACTTGCTAACCCTGAAGCTGGGTGACTGACGTGTGAGCCATGGTTACTGCGCCCCTGCGAGCAGATGGCACGCCGGTTAGCCTTGGAAACCGGACTGCAAGCCCAGCCAGCTGTTTTTTCCTCTGTTTTTTTTTTTTTTTCCCTTCTTCTTTTCTTTTCTTGCAAGTCCGGAAAAGTTTCTTGGTGGTGTTCCCATTTCAGAACGTCGCCAATAATCAGAGGGGGAAAAGGCTTTATTAAATAAATCTTTGCAATAAGGACTAGTGTTCTGGGAAATAGTCGAGAACACTTCCTCCACATTACCGATTTGTATTAAATATTTCACTCCTTTCAACTTTAGTGTCTTATTCAAAATATGAATATTGATCGAGACAGTCTTGTGTGTGTGCACATGTGCCTTCTAATAGACGTTATTGTTTAGATGTACAGAAAAATTGAGAAGATAGGATAGAGTTTCACCAATTTATTAACATTTTATGTTGTGGAGTACTTTAGTTAAAAGTAACGAACCGATATTGATATATTATTATTAACTAAAGTCATTACCTTATTAAGATTTAATTGTTACCTAGCGTCCTTCCCCCTTCCCCTCCCCGCAAGATATACCACATCACATTTAGCCTTCCTGTCTCCTTAGGCTCCTCTTGGCTGTGACAATTTGTCATACGGTCATTTTTGATGACCTTGAGAATCTTGAAGAGTGCCGGTAAGTCATTCAGTAGGGTGTCCCGCTGTTGGGATTTGAGACAGCCTTCGGTAAGGCGTGTCTACAGACATTTCCTTACAAACCATATACTTTATAGCAGGGATATCTTTCTCCTTTTTATCCTTTCTGTACCAGGTACTCCACTTTCCATCCCTCAACTTCCCAGTATATATATATATTTCTAAATGAATTGTCTGTAGAATTCAGAATGCTCAGCCTAGTTCACTTTGTACTCTGTTTAGATTGCTAAAAATCACTGCGAAGTCATGTGTTAAAAAGACAAATAAGTATGGAAACCTTAAACATAAAGAAAACAAAAATTTGACATTTTATATTAGAGGTGATATTTTGAACTGAAATCTGTCTTGTAGGTAGAAGCATAAGGAGAGAAGTGTAAAGAATAAAGCTGCAATTTATTAAATTTTGCACTTACATGGAAATAAAATTTAGATGAGGAAATGTGTTGTTGTTTTTCCAACCCGTATTAATTTACTGTGGCTGCTATAACAAATTACCACAAACTGGTTGGTTTAGAACAACAGAGATTTATTCTCTTACAGTTCTGGAGGCCAGAAGTCCAAAACCAAGCCCCACACTCCTGGGGTGTTAGAGGAGAATCTGTTCTTTACCTCTTTCAGCTTCTGGTACCTGTAAGCAATTCTTTCTTTCTTTATTTTTATTGATTGATCTGAGGGAGGGAGAGAGAGAGAGAGAGAGAGAGAGAGAGAGAGAGACACATTGATTTTGTTGTTCTACTTATTTATGCATTCATTGGTTGATTCTTGTATGTGCCCTGACCAGGAACCAAACCCTCAACCTTGGTATATGGGGACAACGATTCTCTAACCAATTGAGCTACCTGACCAGGGTCTGTAAGTAAATTATTATTATTTCTTTGTAATCCTCACTCAAGGATATTTTTCCCATTGATTTTCAAAGAGAGTGAAAGGGAGGAGAGGAGGGAGTGAGAGAGAGGGAAACATCGATGTGAGAGAGACACGCATCACATTGATTGCCTTCCGCATGTGACCTGACTAGGCTAGGGAATGGAACCGGCAATCCAGGTATGTGCAGGAATCAAACCCATCAAACCAGGCATTCTTTGGTCCACAGCTGATGCTCTAATCACTGAGCACATCAGCCAGGGCTGTAAGGAATTCTTGACTTATGGCTGCCTCACGCAGATCTCTGAGCTCTCTGCATCAGTGGTCACATTGCCTCCTCCCCTTCTGTCTGTTAAATCTCTTCTGTGTCTCTTATAAGGACACTATTATTGAATTTAGGTTCTACCTATATAATACAGGATAATTTTATCTCATATTCCTTAATTACATTTGCAAAGATCCTTTTTCCAAATAAGGTGACATTCACAGGTTCCAGGGATTAGGATGTGGATATACCTTTTTTGGACCACCATGTAGCCTTCTAGACACATATTAAAATGATTAAAAATGTATTCATTTTTCTGATATTTCAAAATAATAGTGGTTGTTTCTTTGAGGTCAGTTTTGTTACAGACCTTTTCCTAGAATTTTCAGAGTATTTTTTTTTTCTATTTCAATTCAGACGTAGCCACTATTCAAAACAAGAAAAATTCAACATGTAGCCTCAGGCACCTTATAATGCCATTGATTGTTTAAAGTAAGATTGATCTTAGATTGGGAGGAAAATTGGAAAATAAATGTTTTATGGGCAAATTCAGAGACATTACTCCAGCACTCTTATTTATATTGACGTTTTCAAGTCCTGGAATTTGTAAATAATCCATCAATGTCTCAGTTATTTAACAGACACAGGTGGTGGCTGGGAACTTGGGTGGGGCATCAGTTTCTGCATGTGTTTCTCCGTGTGGCCTGATCTTCCTTACAGCATGGTGGCTCAGGGCTCCAAGAGTGTCCAGCCCCTGAGGGGAAATTACATTGCCGTTTGCGATGAAGCTTCAGAACTAAGGTAGCATCAGTTCTGCTGTATTTTTATGGATGAAGCAGTCAAAGATCCACCCATATTTACGAAGAAACAAGGAGAGGACATACATCCTACCTCTCAGTGGGAGAAGTGTTGAAGAATTTGGGGCTGATTTTAAAACCGCCATACCACGTTTCATGCTAATTTAAGTATATTTCAGTTCTACCTCAACAATCTGCTTGAAAGGTCGTTAACTTGGGCACAGCATAGTATTATATATATGGCAGCAGTCCTCATGGCCCTGTATTGTGCTAGTGCCCTAGTTCTGAGTCCTGTCTAGACTTTAGAATCACCTGGGAAGATTTTTTAAAATACCAATATCTGCACCCTACACCAGCCGTGGGCAAACTATGGCCCGTGGGCCGGATCCGGCCTGTTTGAAATGAATAAAACTAAAAAAAAAAAGACCGTACCCTTTTATGTAATGATGTTTACTTTGAATTTATATTAGTTCACACAAACACTCCATCCATGCTTTTGTTCCAGCCCTCTGGTCCAGTTTAAGAACCCATTGTGGCCCTCGAGTCAAAAAGTTTGCCCACCCCTGCCCTATACCCATAGATTTCGAGTTTACTTGATCTGGAATTGGATTTGGGTTTGAAGCATTTTTTCAATATGTAGTGTCTTGTTCATTAGCATCATGCCTATTGTATGCCTATTCATCAATTCCTTTGGATGCTTCTGACTCAGTGGTTTTAGAATGGGATTCTCAAGTCCTGTTGATGAGAACAGGAAGAATTGGGCAGGTGTGCTACCTTCTGGAGTAGATGTAGAGGTTTCAGAGGGCTGAGTCTTGCTGATCTGTGGCCATGTCACTGGTTTTGGAAGGAGGTGAGGTTGTCCATGAGAAATATGATGAGCAGGCATGTGATGGGGGTATAACGGAAGAATGAGCAACAAAGGCTGTGCTCAGGAGAATATGTATCCACGATGTCTGCATTCCTCTGTGCAAAAGGCTTCCTCCACAGCTTCTCAAACTTGCAAATAGCCTGTTACCCGTCCTGGGTTCCAAATCCCAAGATTTACCTTATTTTACAGAAAGAATTGCACTGTAGTGAAATATAATTCACGTCAGACAGTCCGAGTTGTCCAGTTAATGGATAAGCTTCCTCCAATATTTTCTTCCACTACTGCAAGCACAGTGATCTTGATGTATCATCTGCTCACAAAAGTGCAACCACAGGAGAGAATTAGAAACTGAGTTTTCACCACGTGGGTAACAGAGGGACCTTGGCTTCACATCCTGGCAATTCTCAAGTCTCCTGGAGTGGATCAGTTTAGCAGTTCTTTTTAACCTGAGGGCTGTCATTTAAAATGGACTTTGTTTTCAGCCATTCATGAGTCTGGGAATATGACACATTTGCCTCTCCAACTGCTAGTAAGTTCAGAGAAGGTAATTTTTTTCTTTTCAAGAACTTTAAAAAAATTTTGTTTCTATATTATTTTTTATTGAATTTATTGGGGTGACATTGGCTAATAAAATTATGTAGGTTTCAGGTGTACAGTTCTATGATACATCATCTGTAAATTATGTATTCACCATCCAAAGTCTAGTCTCCATCCATTACCATTTATCCCCCCTTTACCCTCTTCTACCTGTCCCCACCCCCCTTTCCTCTGGTAATCACCATACTGTTGTCTCTGTCTATGAGGCT